ATTTACTGCCTGTTAATACAGTAATGCATCAAGAACTCAGAGTTATAGGATTTCAAAGGAAGAAAAGTAATAACTGGGTTACTTTAAGAATGTGACCTACCTTCTAGTTAAAGCAGTAGTGTATTTCAAGTGTGTGTTTATTAATGTCTGTTATCAAAATTTCACTGTCATAAATACCCTGGAATGCTTTTGTTTGAATTTATGTAAGCCTATAATAGTGTGTGGTAATATGTTAAAGTCACACACAGACTTATATATTCAGCATGTGAATCACAGCAATGGTAACAATTCAATTTCATTTATTGTAACAATAACCATTTTATTTACTCTTTTTGTTGTGCTACTACTGACACAAAACAGCTAATAAAGTTGGCAAATAAAATCAACAACTGTAAAACAAAGCAACTGCATAATTTATTCATGCCGCAATGCACTCTGGGAGTCAGTGAGTAGCTATACTAAGTCATGAGTAAACCTAAATGAAAGGATCAAGTACCCCCTACAGTTCTTTTTTAGTTACTAGAACTCTCGTGTAAGTAAGCTATACTAAGCATCTGTCAGTAGAACATACTATTGCTATTTCACTTTACTTAGTTTTTTCAAGGCAATCGGTTTGCATGCTTTTTTTTTTAAGTAAGCCCAACTAATTAGATTTTACAGTGTACATTTACATGGTGCATATCACCACCTAATTGATGGTTGTTGATTTTTTTTGTTTTGTTAAATCTTTTAATCACTGAGAATAAAAATTATATTGTTTGTTTGATGCTAATTATATAAGAAATATCACATATGTATTTTTATTATAGAAATACATTATAGAAAATGCAGATCCATGTGTGAGATGACAATAAAATGTAATAAATATATTAGAATAAAATAAACATTACTTTGTTATAATAGTGTTTTATAATCAATATACAGTATATCAACAACTATTAAATGACAATAAAATAAATATAATAACATATTAGAATAATATAATATTACCTTATCTATTACTTATAATAGTGCTTTATAATTAACATATCAGACAACGATAGATAGATAGATAGATAGATAGATAGATAGATAGATAGATAGATAGTAAACTAACCCTGAAACAGAACTTACTCCGGAGCAGGTTATGTTCAGGGAATAAGTTGCTATGGCTACTTACAAACCCTGAAAGTTACCTCCGTTTTTGGAATCGAAAGCTGGGGTTATCCACTTACTTACTCCCAAACATACCTGGGTATGTCACATAATCTGCTTACTGGATTACGCCCCAGGAGTGAGTTCAGTCAACTCAGAGTATGTTCACGGTTAACACACAAGACATTCTCAACAGAGCCACAAATTGACGAGTCACTATGGAAACGGACGATAAGAAAAAGCACACCATGCTGGTCAATGGCTATTTACAAACCTAGTGCATATTGCCACCTAATTGGTTGTGCAATCATTTTTCAAACTTTTCGTTTCATCTTTAATCACTGAGAAAAATAATTATATTGTTTGTTTGATGTTGATTAATAAGACATATGATAATAAATTTTTATTATAGAAATACATTGTAGAAAATGCCCTGTTGTACAAAGAAAAAAAAAAACATTTGAATGCAGATCCATGTGTGAGATGACAATAAAATAATTAAATATCTTAAATACATCTTGTTATAATAGTGCTTTATTAATATCGACAAACTTAAATATTACCTTATATATTATAATGCTTTATAATAATAATATATATATATATATATATATATATATATATATATAACTATATTGTAATCATATATAATACTGTGCGCAATCTGTCACGCCCACAGGAGACTCGTCAATAGGTCACGCATGCACTGATAGCTCTGAAGTAAACTAACCCTAAACAGAACCTCCGGAGCAGGATATGTTCAGAGAATACGTTTCTATGGCCTACCCTGAAAGTTATCTCCATTTTTGGAACCGAATGCTGAGTTTATCCGCTTACTTACCCTTAAACATACCTGGGTATGTCACATAACCTGCTTTCTGGAATACCCTCCAGATCTGCATACACAAAAGAACGATAACAAAATGGCATGAAGCACACTGTCATAATGAAGTAAACATGGAGGCCACTTAAAGGGATAGTTCACCCAAAAATGAAAATGTGATGTTTATCTGCTTACCCCCAGGGCATCCAAGATGTAGGTGACATTGGGTCTTCAGTAGAACACATATGATGATTTTTAACTTTAACCGTTGCAGTCTATCAGTCGTATAATGCATGGCAATGGTAACAAAATCTATTAGTAAAAAAAACATGCAGACAAATCCAAATTAAACCCTGCGGCTCGTGATGACACCGTGATGTCCTAAGACACGAAACGATCGGTTTGTGCCAGAAACCGAACAGTATTTATATCATTTTTTACCTCTAATACACCACTATGTCCAACTGTCTTTGGGCGCACGCACGGCATCCGGTGCATGAGGTGTGTACGCGCTCTGGTGTAGTTTACGCAAGCGCCGGAAGTGATCTCTCGTGCGTATACATCACTCATTGTTTACACAATGCACAAACATTGTAGGTACGACGGCTAATCAAAACCGATCGTTTCGTGTCTTAGGACATCACGGTGTCATCACGAGCCGCAGGGTTTAATTTGGATTTGTCTGTGCATGTTTATTTCACTCTCATAGACTTTGTTACCATTGCCATGCATTATATGACTGATAGACTGCAACAGTTAAAGTTAAAAATCATCATTTGTGTTCTACTGAAGAAACAAAGTCACCTACATCTTGGATGCCCTGGGGGTAAGCAGATAAACATCAAATTTTCATTTTTGGGTGAACTATCCCTTTAAATAAGCATTTACACGTTTATTTATAAGCTGATGTGCCACGAAAGCCAGTGAATTCGTGAGCAGGTAAGGATGAAGATGAGGAGAAAGACAGCAAATTTTTCAAATATTTACAGTATAGCTCCTTACGTTTAGCTTGTATAGAGCTGTCATTGTAATACACCATAAAATAACATCACACTGTCTCTTTACTGACTAGCTCCGCAAGTGTCTGTCATATTCACAGAGTGATCAAAGAACTACCATTATGTAAATTTATTGGAGTGACTATCAGTGCGGAATAACGACGAATGTTAATCAAGAGTGATGTAAAAGTTGCATGAACTCTGATATGATCTGCGGTCACATTGCAAAACATCTGACCTAAATCAGATTTAGGACCACATATGAAAGTGGCCCAAATCAGAAATGAAAAGATCAGTGGCCTATATCACGAAGCCGGTTTCAGTTTTTATCCAGGTAAATTTGCATTTAGTTTGAGTTTAGTTTTTGGGCTCAAGAAGGTGGGTTGGTTTTGAGCGGGTTTCGTCAACACGGCTACAGTTAGAGATCGCAACCCCAAATTGGACCAATCAGCTGTGAGCAAAGTGAAATATCTGATGCAATAAAGCCACTCCTCCATCTCTCGCTTCAAATTAAAGCAGTTTAGAGTCAAATAATTTTAGAGACCAAATTGCTAGACTTTTGCTATGTATTTATTATATTTATATATTGTATAAATTATAATTGTTTATAACTCATATAATATATTAATATAATTATTATATGAAGTGGCAATACATTTTAAGCTTTGCATTTAAATTAATTTAATTTAAATATATATATACACATATAAGCTTTAATATATGCAACTTTTAAAATGACTAAATTTATGTTTTCCATTTGAGCCCTGTGTGAAACTACATAATTAAATTCAGTTGATTCATTTGCATAGTCATTTTTTTTCTGCTGCAGCAGTGTTTATTTCTGCCTTGTAAATGCATTTAAATTCATTACATTTTTAATTGTCATCTCTTAAGTCTTCAGCAAAAAAGTGAACTCTTTTAATCTAAAACTTCTAAAAGAAGTTTAATCAAACTGACGCTTTGCTGATGCTCTCCACATGTGCCATGTGATTGGCTGTTTGCTGCATGTGTCACACTTTCAGGTGTTCGCACTCCGGAGTTCATCACAAACTCTGGATCAAACTCTGAGTTGACTGAGAACATTTATACCGAGCTTTGTGAGCCCGCTGAACCTATTCTAAACAGGTTGGATTTGTTTGGTTTTGTCAACTCTAAACTTACTCCTGAACTCTGAGTTTGTTCATCTTGCTTCATGCTCCATGTGGTTTGTGCTGTTCACACTGTCATGAAATAAAACGGTCTGAGTCACATATTGTAATTTTTATGTTCCATTCTCTTTGGTTTTGTTCTAGTTTTACTTGTTTGACCTAGTTTCCTTTGTTCCTCTTTCCCGCCACTAGTTTGTTACCTTAGTTACTCATTAATTTGATTAGTGTCTGCACCCGTTTGACTGGTTTGTTTCAGTGTATTTAATTCCTGTGTTTTCTTTTGTTCATTGTCAATTGCATGTAACTCAGTTGTTCTGTTCCTGTTTTCAGTTTGTTTAAATAAAACTAAATTGCTGCATTTAGATCCTCACCCCATCCTTTTTTTTCAACTGGTTTGTAACACATAAGGGCAAAAATTGGATTTGGGCCACATTTTCCTGCAGTGTGAACGTAGCCTAAAGTGCCCAGAGATAATATGGGGAAAAAAAAGTAAAAGGTAGGGAGACCATACGTCCTCTCCCCCCCCTACGTCCTGTCCAGGATTTCTATATTGCCTAAAGTGTCCGATTGTTGTTTGACATTAAAGTACCATGAGAGCTATAGAGAGCAGACGGCTCCTTATGCTTTTGAATCGCTCTAACGGTACTTTGATGTCATTCACCAATCGGTCTGCACAGAGCTTTTTCAAGTTGAACACACGTAATGTTTTGACTGATGTTGTCATGTTGATTGACCAAGATGGTCAAACAAAGAGAGCAATGTCCTGATAGTATCCAAGATTCACAGTATTTAATTATTCCTGAATTACCTATGGACGCTTGAAATATTTACATATTACACACATACCCTTTAAAATAAACAATTTTTCTGCTGTTACAACAACACATATTTTCTTACATTTTTTAAAAAACTGTCCATCCATTTGTTGATGTCCATTTGTCTAACTCGGTCTTCAAATATATCAATCTGAAAAAAAGAGAAATTTCTTTGTTTAATATATCTATTATACACATGACAAAAAATAAATGTTTTATGAGAATTAAGGCATTCTTACAGCAGGTCTGAATCCCTGATTAATCAAAAAATTCACAAAGGGCATCAACTCTGCTGCAGTGTCCACAGAATATGTTATGAAAATGTCTCCTGTAAATCATGAAAATTACATGGGTTGTCAGAGTTCATGGTGATCTGAAAAACTTTTTTTGAAGCATCACTTACTGCAGTCATCAGGAAGACTAATGTTGCGTCTCAGTGTTTGAGGGTGGCCGACAGCAGCTGGTTGGGAAGGCTGGACACACACTTCTGACATGAGCTCTCTCACAGGCGCTGTGCTCTGACGGGATGTGACTTGAGGGGGCCTCACAACTGCCACTTGTCTAGAGATGGGCCTCCAAAGGGGAAGCAAAGCATTTATATATTTAGGGTAATACAGTTCAGTGTGTGTCATAACAACCGCACTTACGTATGCAAATACTATTCAATAATGGATATGATAATCAATAAAACTTTAATATAAAAAGTATTACTTTAAGCATAAAGTCTAGCACTCTCTATTCTAAGAAGAAAAAAAAGCACTTGACCCCTAACACTTGCACTCTATTCTTTTTCTATTCTTACTACGTTTTTCTTTTCATTTATTATTTAAAAAAAAAACTTGCTACGTGTACTGCGTTAGACTAACAGAGACTTGTCACTCACATATTATTGCCCTTTTGTTGGTTTTGATTGCTTCTATTGTCCTCATTTGTAAGTCGCTTTGGATAAAAGCATCTGCTAAATGACTACATGTAAATGTAAATGTAATTTTAAAGCAAAATCTCTTAAGTCCCCACACACCCAGAGCACTTTCTCTTTGAACTGTTGCCCTCAGGTCGGCGCTCCAGAGCACTGAGCACCAAAACAGCCAGGCACCAGAACAGCTTTTTCCATCAGGTTATATTTATTCTAAGCAAATAAAACTGTACATTGTCTCTCAAAGCTGTACATTTGTAGATAACATCTCAGAATTGTACATCTGTAAATAATATTTTAAAACAATATATATCTTTAAATAGCATAAGTACATTCATAAATCTATTGTATTTTCTATATTTTTATTACAGTATTGTATTATATGTATTTATTTATTTTTTAAATCTTTTTATTATTCTGCTTTGGGTTTCATAAACTTGTCTCTGTAAATTTACATGAATTTAAAATGTATTTGATTTTTTGTGTGATGATGATCACAAGACCAGCAAAGTACGGGACATTTGAGGAACTAGTCAGCCTACAGCGAACTCATTTAATTTGATTGCATTTAACACAGTTCTGGGGCAGGGCTATGGTCTCAATTTAAAGGGATAGTTCACCCAAAATGAAAATGATGTCAATTACTCACCCACATGTTCCAAACCCGTAAGATCTTTGTTCATCTTCGTAACACAAATTAAGATATTTTTGATGAAATCTGAGAGCTTTCTGACCCTGCATAGACAGCAATGGAACTACCACATTCAAGGCCCAGAAAGGTAGTAAGGACATCGTTAAAATAGACCATGTGACATCAGTGGTTCAATTGTAATTTTATGAAGCTACGAGAATACTTTGTGCACAAATAAAACAAATAACCAGAGGTGGGACTTTCAAGTCACAAGCAAGTCTTCAAATCCCAAGTCATCAAAGAGTTAAAGTTAATGAGATAATTAAATGATGATTGTGCATTAGTGATGAACACCTGCTGTTAATAATCAACATCATTGAAGAAAATAGAAACACAAGAACTACAACTGACTTGTACAACTGAACTACAACTGACCCCCCCCCCCCTCAAAAAAAACAAAACACACAAAGCCACCATAATTGAGGTCAAGATTTGCTTTAGTTGAGCTCTTGATCCTTACACTAATTCAAAGTAATTTGCTTCTAAGCGATTGCAATGTTGTTTCACAGCAAACATTTGTGCATTTGCTGAATCAAACCTTGAAGTAGCAGATAAGCTTAGACTTTCTGCTTATAACTCATGATGAGTGAACATCATAAAGTGGTCTCTCTTTGGTTTATTGACTGACATTCAGATATTACTGAACTGTGAAAAAAGAAATAAAGTCTAAACAAATGCCACCGTAGTGCTTCAATATTGAAAAAAAGGAAAATTGTATCAGCTCAGGCTTTTAGACATGAACACTTATCATATGATCCTCAACAGTGGTGACAATAATTTGTCATACTGCAGTGCATTATAGGAGTTTTTACTATGCTGTTACCCAGCATGCATTGCAGCATGAAGCACTTTGTTGATTGTCACCATTGTTGAGATTCATATGCTGGTTCTTGATGTTTGTGTGTCTAAATAACACTGGAGATCAAATTTGTATATGCATTAACAAAGATTTAAAATTAATTCATAGTAACTATTATATCTATTGGATATATCATGATGGCGCTGACACTGATGGCTGCCTCCGTGGCGTGCTCCGCAGTTGTTTTTATGTTTTTGTTAGTCTGTCCTGTCTTTAGTTATATCCCTGCAATCAGTTTCACCAGAGATGAATTGCTGGACATATCGGAAGTACACACCACCTGATATTTCACCGGTTTTCGACTATTCTGATGTTTTGCTGGACATTGTAGTCGGGGGAGCTGTGGCGCTGATCAAGCGCTTCAGGACGCGCAGACGGGAGAAGAGAGCCGGCGCACTCGTGAAGCTCAGACAGCACGGATTCAGAACGCCGTTGCCTAGCATCCATCTGGCAACCTCCGCTCTTTACCCAACGAAACGGACGAACTTCTTCTGCTCTCCCGGACAAATAAGGATTTTTCTAACTCTGCTGCTCTGTGTTTCACGGAAACCTGGCTGAAAGACGCCATTCCGGACAGCGCGCTGAGTCTCCCGGGCTTTCAGCTGTTCAGAGCAGATCGCGACGCAGAATCAACAGGGAAATCACGCGGCGGCGGGACATGCTTTTACATCAATGAGAGGTGGTGTACAGATGTAACTGTGTTAAAGAAGATGTGCTGTTCAGATCTAGAAGTGCTCTTCAGTAACTGCAAGCCGTTCTATTCGCCGCGGGAGTTTTGCTCATTCATTCTCGTAAGTGTGTACATTCCTTTGCAAGCACACGTGAGCACCGCTTTACAGAAACTCACAGATCTGATCACAGACACAGAACAACAACACCCGGACTCTGTTTTAATCATTCTCGGGGACTTTAATAAAGCAAATCTCTCCCGTGAACTGCCAAAATACAGACAGCACATCACATGTCCCACCAGAGACAGTAATATATTGGATCACTGTTACACCACAATAAAGAATGCATATCACTCTGTCCCACGGCCAGCTTTGGGGCTCTCGGATCACTGTTTTGTTCATCTAATACCGACCTACAGGCAGAAACTGAAATCAGCTAAACCTGTATAAAGGACCGTAAAAAGATGGACTAATGAAGCAGAGCAGGATTTACAAGCTTGTTTAGACCTCACTGATTGGAGCATTTTTGAAGGTGCTGCCACCGATCTGGACGAGCTCACAGAGAATGTAACATCTTATATCAGTTTCTGTGAAGATATGTGCATTCCTACCAGGACTCATCTAACTTACAACAATGGCAAACCATGGTTCACTGCAAAACTCAAACAGCTCCGTCAGGCCAAAGAAGATGCTTACAGGAAGGGGGATAATGTATTGTATAAACAGTCTAAATACACACTGGAAAAGGAGATCAGAGTGGCAATTATTCTGAAAATATAAGGATTAAATTCTCTTCCAGTGATTCAGCATCAGTGTGGAAAAGTCTAAAAGAAATCACCAACTACAAGACACCATCCCCCAGCACTGTGGAGAATCAACAACTGGCAGACGATCTGAACGAGTTCTACTGCAGGTTTGAAACCCCACACCCGCCCTGAACACAACACCTCTCCACACAACCATTCACACCTCCAGCAACCCCCCTCTCCCCCACACCTGCAATTCAGATCAGTGAAGACGAGGTGCGCCAGGTCTTCCGGAAGCAGAAAAGGAAAAAAGCACCAGGCTTAGACTGCGTTACACCAGTCTGTCTGAAATGCTGTGCTGACCAGCTGGCCCCCATCTTCACACAGATCTTCAACAGATCACTGGAGCTGTGCGAAGTCCCTTCATGCTTCAAACACTCCACCATCATCCCCGTCCCAAAGAAACCCAAAATTACTGGACTTAATGACTACAGACCTGTAGCTCTAACGTCTGTGGTCATGAAGTCTTTTGAAAAACTGGTGCTGGCCCACCTGAAGGACATCACTAGACCCTTGCTGGATCCTCTTCAGTTTGCCTACAGAGCAAACAGGTCTGTGGACGATGCAGTAAACATGGGACTGCACTATGTTCTGCAACATCTAGACAGACCAGGCACTTATGTGAGGATCCTGTTCGT